ATTTATTGAATGTGCCAAAAAGGTAAGGATGCTCAATGTACATTTTACCAATGATATATCACAAAAGCTCGGCAAGGAAGGTTTAATATCTGCGTTTTAAAGATAAGTAAACCAGAAAACACAGTGGTTGACTTATTTTCCCATAGTTGTCCCCTGGTAAGTGAAAAAGCATGAACTTGAATCCAGGTCTGTGATACCAAAGCTGTGCTCATTCTAATGTGCCAATTACTGTTATCAGCATCCCAACCCCATTACTGTCTGAGCCAATGATTCTGGGACTATCCCTCTACTATCCACAGATGTCCCTATCACCCAATCATCTAGAAGTCAACCCTTTAAAAAACCCTCAGACAAGGGCAAGTAGGTTATTGAAGATCATCTGCCTATTTTCTCAGCTCCACTCGTTCCCTTGGAACCACACTTTTTGGGCTCCTCTGCCCACTGGATTCTGAGTAGTTCTGTCTGGTGGAAAACATTGGCAAGAAATCTGGAAGTTAGAAAAAGGGAAAGATCAGAATATTTCTGTTCCTCCCCACTTTGAGAGGTAACTCCAGTGCCTCTATAGTCCATCATCCTCCAGGCAACCCCCTGCCCTTGACACCAATGCCTGCTACCTTGTCCCTCCTCCAGAATTCCAGCTCCTGCCAATGGAGCACTGGCTCTTGAGTCCTGGCTATACTCTGTCCTCCCTTAGTCCTAGCCCTTGGACTGATGGTGATTCCTACAATTATGAATCTCCAAGTTGTCTCACCTTCCTGCTTCCCACTCCCCACCAACCTCTTTGACCAGACCCTGTAATTGACTATCTGGTATGGTCCTATTTTCCTGCCTCACTGACAACAGATACAGAATGATGGAGTGATAGTTATGACGTAGGTAGTTTTTTGGGGGCTCTGACACAGATTTTCCCAGAAACTAAAGAATTGATGACAAAGAAGGAAGAGCACTGGGCTCAGTAGAAATCTAGAGACTGGTTTCAAGTTCCTGCTGGGACTTTGAGCACATCATTTGTCCCCTCTGGGTCTCAATTTCCTCATCCAGAAAATGGACACATGGACACTTTCAAGTCCTATGAGATTAAATTTCCTGTCCTGGGTCTGTAGTTTTTGAAGGCATCACTGAACCCTTGCAAGCAGTGCCTGCACTGCCCTTATTAACCTCTGAGACCTTCAGCATAAAAGATTGGGGGGACCCTCCACTCCTGGTCTCCATGGTGCAAGTGGTCTTTCTCCTGCCATTTCCTTCCTACCCAAAGCCCAGGCCCTGTGCCCTGCAATATAACTCATGTAATATAACTCACTAGCTCATTGTGAATAGTGGGGACCAGTGATTTTGCCCTGAAGATTTTCACTCAGAATTCTACTAACTTGGTTATGGTAATTAGCAGGCATGTACCTTGCTGTTGTTCACTTGGGAGCAGACTGACGGGAATATCATAGGCAGCTGCTCCTACCGAAGGCCGCAGGCACGCAAGCCCAGCAGACATCGTTATTAGCATGCGGAACAGTCAGCTGTTCTAAAGCCATAAAGCCCCACTTCAGTGTCTTAGAAACCTCCAATGAGGCCCTGGCCTGACCCACTAGCTAGAAAGAGGCCCGAGTCAGGGAACTGCCCTTGAGAAAGACCCAGGAGAACAGAGCCTCAATCTATTTTTTAAGCCATGCTCTCCTTCAGAAACCTCTCTTTTCCTTTCTAATCCAACACTGCAAATTAAATTACGAAGTGGATAAAGCCAATGCAAATGTATTACGTGGCTATTGTGGATTTTTTCATAAAACAAATCAAAGCAATGATGTGCTTTTTCACAGTTGGTGATCCCCGTCTCCCAGGGGGTATGCTACATTTCCCCAGAGGTAACTTCATCACCCCCACCCATGCATGGTTGGAAATCACTGATCTGGAAGGAAAGGAATATATCTTTCAGCATAAAAGAGACGTGCCCGCGCCCCCCTTGAGTTTTCTCAATTTAGATGCACAAAGGAACCATGAGGCAGTGGAGACAACTCAGGCTCAGATGGTGGGCACACCTGGGCCCAAGTTGTAATCTGAAGAAATAGCAAACCCCCACCGAATGGGTTTGTTGTGAGAATTGAATGAGATGGGTGAACTGATACATGAGGTCAATAATATGTAGAGGCTTTTTCTACCTGAAGGGGCTGTGTCAAGTACTCACCTACTGCTCACAGTGACCCCACATGAGGTATGCTACCCCAGTTTACAGAAAGGAAAACTGAGGCTCAAGAAATTAAGTCTCTTGCCCAGAGTTCTCAAGTTATTAAATGACCAAGAAGGGAATTAGACCCAGATCTGTCACACCCATGAACAGTGTTTTAGACCATGTGTTACATGCATGTTAGCGTCCTTCCCTCTGTCGGCAAAACTACTTATGCTGACACTCACCATGATGCCATTATTTCTATAAGAGCAGTTACAGGCAGCCATGACAAAATATCATGGACGGGGTGCCTTCAACAACAGAAGTTTCTTTTCTCATGTTCTGGAGGCTAGAAGTCTGAGATGAAGGTTCCAGCCAGTTTTGTTTCTGGGGAGAGCTATCTTCCTGGCTTACAGACAGACACCTTTTTGCTGTGTCTTCATGGGAAGAGAGAGCGAGCAGTGGTGCTGTTTCCTATAAAGACACTAATCCTATCAGATCATTTAACCTTAATTACTTCCTTTGAGTCCCAAGCCACACTGGGGGTTAGGGCTTCCACTTATGAATTTGCAGGAGAGGCACACGCATTCAGTCCATAAAGGCAAGAATATTGGATTAGTTCACCATTCTATCCCCTATGCTTAGTACTGTCTGACACAGAGTTGATTGACACTCAGAAAATATTGACGAAATAAGTGAATGAGTTAATAAATGAATGAACACAAAATAAACTTGAATTAATATAAGACACTGATTCTAAACCTTTTCACCAGCAGTAATTCATTTTATTAATTTCTTCCCATGGGCCTTGCGCTTTGATAAATTTCGTCTTCCAAGCTGAGACTAGTAACAAATTGGTTTTTCCCATGTTTAATTAATCAAAGACAGATAAATTGCTAACCAGTACTTCTAATCAGCATGAAATATGTAAGCACTGTAACTTAGCTTGAGGTGTTTAATTCCAGGCTAACACAGATACGATAACCTGTTGGCTTAGGTGTCCTTACTGCAAGCAAATGAACAATGAATTACTCCTAAGACTTCAAATTCAAAACTAACTTATGAATCTGTAGCTATCTGGGGAGCCCATTTGGGGAAACACTCCCCTAGTGTGAGCCATATTATACAACAGAGTGGCATCTTATCGAAGATTTGGGTTCCAATGTAAGCAATTAAGAAAACACATGCATTTGGTCAAAATTATCTTTGAAAATGCATTAAATAATCCAGATTCAAGGTTTTGTATATGCAGTCTTCTGTAAAAATAAGTGTCTATAAATTTGCAGTGTGTATTACTATGCAGCACATGACCAAGTATATTTGTGCTTACCGCAATTGACTATTGTGTTATATAATTATGTATAATTGAATATTCAGGATGCGTGTATGATTGAATTGAAACTTAGAAGTGCATGGGACATGACTCCATCATAATATTTTTCATTTATACACAATAATGCACATAAATATTTAGATTATAAAGAATAATTAAATAAACACCAATGTACTTTCAGCCAGGTTTGAAGCAATAGGACATTTGCCAAGAATTTTTTATTTCTATATTGCCCTCCCTACTAGCATTCCTCCATCTACCCTATCCTAGCTTAACACTGTCCTGCATTTTGCTTTGTTTTCCAGCTTCACCACATGCTTGCATTACCAAACAATACATTGCTTAGTTTTGCTTGTATTTGAGCTTTATGTAAATGGTATCATATGGTATGTGTTCATGTGATTTACATTATATAAATATGTTTTCCCCTAACATTATGCTTCTGTGTCTGTGCACGTGGCTGTAGTTCATTCATTTTACTGCTCTATAGGAAGTAATTTTTCAACTTATGGTGTTCCTTTTCCTGAGTGTGGTTATTTTTATCTAATTTACTCATGAAATGCATCAACATGAAAAAAAACACAGTAATTACTGCAACCAACAACCCCTCATCTAATGTCATTAATAAAATAAAAGTTTTATGTTCTACTCACATCCAAGTCGAAAGCAAGTCGGCAACCCTACTGACTGCTCTCCTCCAAGAAGTAACTCAGGGATCTAGGCTCCTTCCATATGTGACACCAAGATCTGTAACATTGGACTTCTGGTAGCCATGAGAGAAAAGATAGAACCAGAAAGGTCTCTCGGCCTGCAAGGGTGGCTGAGAAATGCCTCCTGTGTGCCCAGAAAAGGACCTGAAGTTGCTGAACAGTGCCATGGTCTTTAAATGCTATAAGAGGATTAGAGATCGGCTTGAACAGACTTTAAAAGCTATCTAATCTAACTTTCCTTATTTTATCATTGAGTTAGTATTTTCTAGCACTCACTACATGCCAGGCAATGGTCAAGTGACCTCTGTAGCATCTTGGATGAGGAAGTGCCCATTCTCTGCTTGAATACATCCCAAGTCAGGGAGCTCACTGGCCCCAAGGAAGCAACTCTCACATTTGCACATCGGATAGACTGATTGCTATTCATGATGCACATATCCAGCAGGTCCAAGGAATGACATGCGCCAGGGTGTGTCTGTGCTTGTGCCTAACTACAGAGGACCCAGGAGGACCCACAGGCCAGATTTGTTGAAGGGGTCACCAACTGAAGTCATCTATGATGATGACGGCTATTCTC